ATCCTCCTTTCTGTGCAGGAGGAATTCCAAAACGCCCGCCATTTTGAGCATGGCTGAGAAGCATGCATTTACATATCTATGAGTGTTTTTAGGTTTTATTTTGTAATGTTCAAACTTTTAATGTTCAACATTTTATGGTGCCTTGTCCTTTGCGGTTAAGACATCTGGTCATCCTGGCTCAAACAAAATACACCAAGCTGACTCCTTAATTGGAGAAAACTTGTGCTGCAGCTACACTGCAGAATTAATGCAGTGCCACACCACCTTAATTGTTGTGGCTCAAAGGTATGGAACTTTGGGATTTATTGTTTAATGAGATATTTCTGTCAGAGAACCTTGGTGCCCCAGTAAATGATAAATCCCAGAATTCCATAGCATTGAGCAATGGCAGTTAAAGCAGTGTCAAAGTGCATTAGTTCTGCCATTTTGCAGTAGCCCTGTTTAACCACCACTGCCACCAAAATTGGGCCACAGGGTTTTGTTTTTAAACTGGTTTAATATTTGGCAAGGGTTCAAAGACACAGCAGTGTCAAGGCCTTTGCAGACTGCCAGAAATAGTGCAAATTGAGTCCACTTTAAGGGTTAGGGTTAGTGCTAGGGAATCATGGGAATTGTGTTTTTTTCTGAGACATTGAGCCTTCTCTGTCAGAGAGCTCTGGTGCCACAATAAAATACAGTTCCCATGATTCCCTAACCCTAACCCTAAAAGTGGACTCAATTTGCACTATTTCTAGCAGTCTGCAAAGGCCTTTAGTCTGGAAAATTAGTAGTGGTAAAGGTAAAGGTTTTCCCTTGACATGAACGTCTAGTGGTAATTGTAAGTCGACTGGTTACCACAATTCCTGGGGTCCCTTTCTTGGGGATTGGAATGTATATTGAACTTCTCAAAATTTGTGGACCACTTGTTTCCTATATTTCTTGGCAGATTTTTTTTTAACAAGTAGTTAATGTAACCAGTAGGAATGAAATCTGTCTCCCCAGTTTGAAATAGCTCTATCGATATGCCATCTGTTCCTGATGATTTGTTTCTCTCAAGTGCTCTGAGGGAATTTCCATGTTGCTTTCTTAAATTGTGGGTTCATCTTCAGATGGTTCTTACTTGAAGAAATATGTCATAATTTCATCTCTTTTATATAGTTTGTCAGTGTTCTTCTATTTAATTTTTATTTTGTCCTGATCATATAGTGTATTCTTCCCCTGTTGGTCTTATAGCATCCCATTTCTTGGTTTGAATTTCCCTTTAATTTCTCAGATCCTGTGGAAGAGATTTCTTCTACATATTAACACACAACTAGATTAAAACCATAGTTTAAAACAACTAAATACTGATGTAGAGAGATCTTGTAGCATCTTTGAGACTAACTAAAGAAGTTGGCAGCATGAGCTCATCAGACTTAAGTAGACTTAAGTCTGAAAGCTCATGCTGCCAACTTCTTTCTTTAGATATGAGATCATCCCACCACTGAAATAACCCGGTTTATCTCTTCCGAATTGAAGCCTAATTCGGGAGGCAGCTGGGTCCAAGCACAAGAATTTTGCTACCAAAGCCGCCTTGCAAGTCCAGCCCAGCTGAAGCCTGGGTCCCCAGCACGCTTTGGCGGCTTTATTTTTTGAACCCAGGAGCTTTCTGACTTGAAAAAATGGCCACCTAAGCATGCTGGGGACCTGGGCGGCAGCTGGGTTAGACTTGCCTGGTGGCTTTGGTGGCAAAATCCTTGGACCCAGCTGCCTCCCAAATTAGGCTTCAATTTGGAAGAGGTAAACTGGGTCATTTCAGCGGTGGGATAGTCTCTTAGGGCCTTTGCAGACTGTCAGAAATAGTGCAAATTGAGTCCACTTTAACTGCCCTGACTCAGTGCTAGGGAATCATGGGAACTGTAGTTTATTGTGGCACCAGAGCTTTCTGACAGAGAAGGCTCAATGTCTCAGAAAAAAATACCGTTCCCATGATACCCTAGCACTGAGCCAGGGCAGTTAAAGTGGACTCAATTTGCACTATTTCTAGCAGTCTCAAAGGTGCTACAAGATCTCTCTACATACTGATTCTACAGACTAAGACGGCTATGTCTTTGAACTAAATACTGAATTTATCAATAAAGAAAAGCTCCTAGATGGTAAGGAGCCCCTTCTGCTGCAATTGCAAAAAATCTGTCTGAATAAAAATGCTTTTTGATAACTGGGAGAGAGAGAGAGAGAGAGGCTAACTGTCCCTAATAGGGAGTTAACAGCTTTGGGAGCAGCTTACTGAGAAAGCTCTCTGTCACTGTCCCAGCAGACATTCTTCTGAGCATATTTTAGGAATAAGAGAAGGGCTTTCTTCTTTGTGGTTTCTCTGACTCACCCAAATGGGTCATCAGCCTTGTATGAGCTCAGAAGATGATCTTCTGTGAGCTCACAGAAGAACTACAGTTACAAGTAAGCAGCCTGTCCTCCTCCATGGTCTCTCTGAATCACACAAATGAATTATTTGTTTTTTTTTATTATTATTTTTATTGAGTTTAATATTTTTTACACATCC